AACAACAACAACAGCAGCAGCAGCAGCAGCAGCAGCAGCAGCAGCAACAGCAGCAGCAGCAGCAGCAGCACCGAGAGTGCCACTCGGTGTCTGTACCCTTTACGCCTAGTGCTGCCGCTGCTGCTGCTGCTGCTGCTGCTGCTGCTGCTGCTGCCTTCCTTCTTTTTTTATTTGTCTCCTTTTTGTCTCCTTTTTGTCTCCTTTCTCTCTCTTTTCTTTCTTTTTATTTGTCTCTTTTGTTTCTGTTTATTTGTCTCTTTTGTTTCTGTTTCTCTCTCTCTTTATTTGTCTCTTTTTTCTTTTTATTTGTCTCTTTATTTGTCTCCTTTTGTTTTTTTTTTCTTTTTATTTGTCTCTTTATTTGTCTCCTTTTGTGCTGCAGTAAAGAGACGAACTGTCTCCTTTCCTTTTGTCTCTTTTTGTCTCTTTTTGTCTCTTTTTGTCTCCTTTTTGTCTCCTTTTTCTCTCCTTTTTCTCTCCTTTCTGTCTCATTTATCTCTATTTCTTTCTCTCTTTATTTGTCTCTTTATTTGTCTCTCTATTTATCTCTTTATTTGTCTCTTTTTGTCTCCTTTTGTGCTGCAGTAAAGAGACGAACTGTCTCCTTTTGTCTCCTTTTGTCTCTTTTTGTCTCCTTTTTCTCTCTTTTTTCTCTCCTTTTTCTCTCCTTTCTGTTTCCTTTCTCTCTATTTGTTTCTGTATTTATTTGTCTATTTATTTGTCTTTTTATTTGTTTCTTTATTTGTCTCTTTATTTGTCTCCTTTTGTGCTGCAGTAAAGAGACGAACTGTCTCCTTTCCCGACGGCTCTGTGCATTCTTTTGATGTCTCCTTTTGTCTCCTTTTTGTCTCCTTTTGTCTCTTTTTGTCTCTTTTTGTCTCCTTTTTCTCTCTCTTTTCTCTCCTTTTTCTCTCCTTTCTGTCTCCTTTCTCTTTATTTGTTTCTGTATTTATTTGTCTTTTTATTTGTCTCTTTATTTGTCTCCTTTTGTGCTGCAGTAAAGAGACGAACTGTCTCCTTTCCCGACGGCTCGGTACATTCTTTTGATGTCTCCTTTTGTCTCCTTTTGTCTCTTTTTGTCTCCTTTTTGTCTCCTTTTTCTCTCTTTTTTCTCTCCTTTTTCTCTCCTTTCTGTCTCCTTTCTCTTTATTTGTTTGTCTCTTTATTTGTCTCTTTATTTGTCTCTTTATTTGTCTCCTTTTGTGTTGCAGTAAAGAGACGAACTGTCTCCTTTCCCGACGGCTCTGTGCATTCTTTTGATGTCTCCTTCGCCCCTCCTGCTGTTATTTGTCTCCCTTTTTCATCCGCAAATAAAACTATTACTCTACTCAGGGTATTGCTGCTGCTGCTGCTGCTGCTGC